GGTTGTCGGTCGTTGCGGGGGGGGAAATTCCATGCAGTGACGTATGGTTCAGTGGGAGGGGGTTTCCGAGTTTGGCGCAGTGACCATGAAAAGTCTGTGCGAAAACGACTGCCGATCAACCACGTGACCGCGCGTCGACCCGTCGGCGTCAGAGCGAGTATGTTTCAGGCTTTACAGTCGTCTCGGTATATTTCTCCTCTCAGTAGGGTTGTTTACAGCGCACGCAATTTCCACTTAGCTTCTTAGCTTAGCCTCCTTCACAGCGACATATGTAGCGGCCAACAGATCCAATCATTTTAAACTTCARCAGAGGCCACGCCTCCTGCAAGAATCTCTTCTCTATAGCCACGAGTCCAGACCCTCGTATGAAGCAAAGTGAAGGACAAGGGGCTGGTTTTTACCAGGCTAATGCAGTGCCACTAGGTGGTGAGAATAATCGTCTTATTGAAATAAAAATACAGAGGAAGACCTTCTTAGGTTCTATAATAGATTAAAGGATTTAACTCCCGATCCAAGTTTAATGGAATAAAACAATCACAACAGCTTCAGTGTTGTTTTGGTTTCTAAAGCACAAACTWGTCATTATCATTGGTGAAATTGGCTTCTTAGACAAAGTCCAAGTCCAGAYCAATGATTTAATTATTTTAAAAACTCTGATTTGGACCTTTTTTAGTCCCTGTGAACAGAAGTGACACACCTTAAAGGCGATAGGCAGAGTCTTGTTACACCTCCAGTGGGTGGGGAGCACTGAGCAGAGGAAGTTGGGACTGTCAGTCTTCACCAGCTCCCCTGGATGATCCGAGATCACCTGACAACACAGCRTTTCATTGTTTAACTCAACTTAGAAGCACTTTTACTATTGAGCAGTGATGTCGTCGTACCTCTGCCATGCCGTGGTCAGCTAGGCGCAGTTTCCCCATCAGAGCGCCGCCGCCAGGCTCCTGCGCTCCGAGGGGCAGCGCCTCGGCCATCTTCCCTCCTGTGGCGAGTGAGGTGGAGGGGGGAGTGTAACGCCGGCCAGGAGCTGGGTCTGAAACAGACACAAAGGAAATTCTCTGAGTGTTTTTGTTGTTGTTGTTCTTGTTATAAATAATATGAAGAAAGACAAGATTTAAAATGATTCAAATAACTAAATATTGGATCTCAGTAACTAGATCTTCCTAAAAATACTCACCTAAATCATTTTTTATACCAAGTTTCTCAGAAATCTCAAAAAATATCATATGCTACATTTTTGGTTAAGTTTTCTTGAAAACCTTAGAAAAAAAGACTTAGGCAATTATTTTAGGAAGAWTAAAAAAAGTTGATAACTATGACTAAGTACTAAATATTCAAAATATTACAGTGAAATACATCAACAGAAAAATGGAMTTAAGCAAGGTAAGAATTATGTGAATAAATCATCAGAAGTATATATATGTATTAGGGCTGCCACGATTAATCGATTAATCGACGACTAATCAATTATTAAAATAATCGATGA